GGAGGGTGGTGAAGCACTGGAATGCGTTACCTAGGGAGGTGGTGGAGTCTCCTTCCTTGGAGGTTGGACTAGATGACCTCTTGAGGTCCCTTCCAACCCTGATATTCTATTCTATGATTAATCGTTTCTCCCCCTTTCCTCCTTCTTCTCTCACTCTCAGCCTCTCTGGCATGTCTGTTCTTCATCACACTCACTTGCTCTGTCCCCAGCCCGCTTGCTGCTCAGGGCTGGCCCCTTGTGTGTGTGTGTGCACTCAGTCTGCCACTGGCTCAGCCACACGGGGGCTCCTTCGGGTGGCCAGTCTGCTGAGGTTTATGGAACAAAATGTGCAAACCCCAGCATGGACACACAGCGAGAGGCCCTGCAAACAGAGTCATTCCTGGTTTGCAGGGACACATGAGCAGCCCAAGCACACTCAAACCCAGGCCAGGGAGCCAGGGGCTGGGTGAGGAGCTGACCATCACTGCAATGTTTTCCCCAGGGTTTTTAGACGAGTGGGGAGAGCACAGGGCACCCATGGAAAATGATGTACGAGGATGGGATGGGGTCTGAGGAGTGAATCTTTCTCAGTGTCTGTGTTCACTATAGTCCTTTTCTCAATCCTTTATCTCTATTTCTTTCCTGTCTCCACTTCTCTTCAGAGTCGGAGGTTGTGCCTAGTGGGACTGGTGCAGTTTCATTAATAAAGTATAAGAGGAGGCTAAGCAGCATGTTAATTGAATCCCCACGGGGGCCAGGAACAGAGCCAAGACACCTTTCTCTCGGTCTGAGCAACCGGTCTGCTGGGATGGGATTTTAACCTAGAGCACTGCAATTTGTTGGCTCCTGGAGCTGCCCCTTTTCCTTACAGATGAGGGAAATGATGGGCTGCATTTGGCCAATGTCCTGCTTTGAATCCAGAATTGAGAGCTAGCGGACAGAGACTGTAGAGGTCTCTGGGGTGAGTGGGGAATGCACCGACAGAAAACAAGACCAACACCTGTGTGTATAAATATTGGCTAAATAGATTTATTTTCATACAAAGAATTCACAGATCTCCCTGCAGTGACACCAGCAGGACACCTGATCCCCCATCGATACACCTTATCCTCCTGCATGAGACCTACAATAACATCCTGACCCGATGCCTGCCTGAAGCTGCTGCAAAGACCAGTCTTCCAGCTGCTGGTTCCCTTGTGCTTCTTTTATTAGCCACTCTTGGAAACGTCAGTACCTGCCCCGGTGCCAGCGTCTCCTAGCACTTTCCAGGGGCTGACGTACAACTGTGCACCTCCTATAAAACAAGGGAGGGAAACCAGAATCCGGCTTCCCCCCTTCTCATCCACATGGGTCCAAAACAAATATTGAGTCAGATTCAGCCATGGTTAGGTGGGCACAACTCCACTGGCTTCAATGCTTACACCCAGGCTGCATCTGGCCCACTGAGGCACCTCAGGCATTTTCCTGGCATCCCCCCCTTATTATGTTACATTCACAACAATCCCAGAGCTGGGTGGACCTGAGATGCTGATTTTTGGAGCTGAGAGGTTGGACAACCCCTCACAACACAGGCATGAATCCAAAGTGGTTTCCTGCTCTCCTCCTTTTATTTATCCCATTGGGGCTCTGGAAGGCTGAGCTCTGTCTGGGATTCCTCGGAAGGGGTTTCACTTGCCCCTTCACTGCTCTCAGATCAGAGGTACTGTTTTTAAAAAGAAGGGATTTATGTAGGAGCGATGAAATGGCAGGGATCTGCAGCAGCTGGGAGGGCAGGGGAACCTCCGCCAGGCGTTTGGTTTCTTCCCAGCTCCCTTCTGTAGCAGTATGGCAAAGTGGATTGCACCACCAGCGGGAGGGACTCAGGAGACTGGTGTCTATGGTCAGCTCTGCCACGGACCTGCTGGGTGATCTTGGGCAAGTCACTTCACCACTTTGTGCCTCAGTGTCCCCTCCCACCTTTTGCCTGCTGTGTCTCTTTAATAAGTTCTTAGGGGTAGGGACTGCCTGTAACTATGTGTTTGTGCAGCACCTAGCACAATGCAGCCCTGATATCAGCTATTGTCATACAAATAAAATAACAATAATAATAATATAGCACATTTCATCCTGAAGGATCCGAAAGTGCTCTATAGAGTGATCCCTGAAATGCAGCCAGCTCTGGGGTGGGATGTGGCAGCTGTTTAACAGCACACAGCAACACCACACAACAGTGTTTAAAGAAGGGCGAGCAAGGATAAACTCTCTGACTGTAACTGCGCTGGGCATGCTAGATTGGCAGAATGTAGTTACCTGAGCTGGAGTTTCGTGCCTACCCTCCTCCTGCCATTGTTCACCCCCATCTCCTACTTTCTTCCATCCTGCGCCACATGCTTGGAACAACCTCCCTACAATCATAGGCCGAGCTCCCTTTGCCTCCACGTTCCCCAGATGTGGCCTGCAAGCTCCAGTGACTGGGTCCTGTTTATGGTCTGTCACCTGAGTTTAGATTGTCAGCCCTGTGAGGAAGGGGGTTGGTGTCAGGTCAACCCTCCTCTTCCGCCCTCTATTTACAGCCCCACAAATGGGATTCGTAATAACAACAACAAAGGAACATGCCCAGGGCACTTACTGACTGCGGGTGGTCAGGGCCTTGGTTTTACATCTGCGCTGAAAGGCGACTGTCCCCCGTCCCTGCAGCATGCAGGTGGAGCTCTGCCCAGGCCTGACCCCACTCTCTCATTCTGTGAGGTCTCTAAGGGGACAGGGCATCATTTCCACATGCCCTGAGGCTGGTCACAGACCTCTCCCCGCAGTTTATACACACATTGAAAAAAGAAATCTCAGCTATTTCTCGAGATCCCAGCACAGTTCCTGGGTCTAAATCTTCCCTGTGCCGCTAAATGGCCTGGAAACCTCAGCACTGGCTCAGCGAGCGTCTCATCCATACTGGCACCCGCTGGAGATCCCAGCTGTTAGTATGTGACACCCGAAGGGCGGGACAGCCCGTGTTCCTGCCCTGAGCCGGGGCTCAGAAGTGGGTCTGAGTGAGCCGGGCTCCTGTCTGTGGCGCCCGCTGATAGTCCTTTCTCAGGCCAACTCAAAGGTGCAGGGCGGCAGCACAATCGGTCGGACGCCTGGGTCTGAAGCCAGTCGCTTGTTGCATGCCCCTTTCCCTTCTCTGTGCCTCGGTTTCTTGGTTGGTCCGGTGGGGCGAACGATCCTGACTCGCCTCCCTGCCGGGGGCTGTGGAGCTGTCCGGCACTGGGGCGATGGAGAGCCCTAGCTACATGCAGAGTGCAGCTGGTTCTCAGTCCACCGATTCCTCATCCCGGTTCCCTGCATCCTTCGAGCTAACGAGGTGATGGGCAGCGTGTAACGCACAGGTGAAAAGCCCTTTCAGTGGCAATGCCAAGAACACCCCGACCTCCGCGGCACAAGGCAAGGCAGAGCCAGGAGCTCCACTCGCCAGCCTGGGGCCGGGCAGCTGCCCAGGCTCTGATCTGCTCCAGGAGGAGGGAATGATTCCCTCTGAGCACTACGAACTCCAGCAAGGGGGAATGGGAATGTGCCTGTCTTACTGGTGCAGGGCTGGGAAGCCCCCCACAGCTGTGTGGCTCCCGCTCTTGGCCGTTCAGCCTGAGGTTCCCAGTGATGCACTGGGGCCTCTGCCCCCCAGCATGTCCGGTTG